GGGACAAAGTGTTGGAAGAGGGCAAAGAAGTGTTGGAAGAGGGCAAAGAAGTGTTGGAAGAGGGCAAAGAAGTGTTGGAAGAGGGGAAAGAAGTGTTGGAAGAGGGGAAAGAAGTGTTGGAAGAGGGGAAAGAAGTGTTGGGAGAGGGGAAAGAAGTGTTGGAAGAGGGCAAAGAAGTGTTGGAAGAGGGGAAAGAAGTGTTGGAAGAGGGCAAAGAAGTGTTGGAAGAGGGCAAAGAAGTGTTGGAAGAGGGGAAAGAAGTGTTGGAAGAGGGGAAAGAAGTGTTGGAAGAGGGGAAAGAAGTGTTGGGAGAGGGGAAAGAAGTGTTGGAAGAGGGGAAAGAAGTGTTGGAAGAGGGGGAGAAATGTTGGAAGGGAGAAGAGGAGGGGAAGAGAAGGGTTAAAGAGGAGAATGGTAAGAACAAGTATTTGATTCGGTGAAGAATAAGACAGAAAACTATACAAGAAGCAATAATGCACGATAACAACTAGACCTTACACTGGAAAGGAGAGGAAGCCAACGGGGCGCGAGAAACAAGGACGAAGACATGAAAGAGGGAGGTTAAAGGTCACATGCCTGACTGTCAATCTAAGCCGGGGACTCGGCCGTCCGCCCCCCGGCAGGGCGCTCGGCGGACCCTTTCGTGCTTTACGAGGAGAGGAAGGAGGGAGGGAGGGAAGGAGGGAAGGAGGGAAGGAGGGAGGGAAGGAGGGAGGGAGGAGGGAGGGAAGGAGGGAGGGAAGGAGGGAGGGAAGGAGGGAGGGAAGGGAGGGAGGGAAGGAGGGAGGGAGGAAGGAGGGAGGGAGGGAGGAAGGAGGGAGGGAGGGAGGGAGGAAGGAGGGAGGGAGGAAGGGAGGGAGGAAGGGAGGTAAGGAGGGAGGAGGAGGGAGGGAAAGAAGGAGGGAAGGAAGGAGGGAAAGAGGGAGGGAAGGAGGGAAAGAGGAATGGAAGGAATGGAAAGAGAAATGGAAGGAATGGAAAGAGGGAAAGACAAAAAAAAGGAGGGAAAGGGAGGGAAGAAGGGACAGGGAGGGAAGAAGGAAGAGTAAGAGGGAGGGAAGGAGGAAGGAGGGGAGGGAGGGAGAGCAAAGATTAGGTATGAATTCCAGATCCAAGTGTAGGTAAAGCAGACCTCCCTCCCTCCCCCACCTACATCCACCCTACATGCTAAAGATATCATGTGGAAAAGCAGTTACTTCAAAACCCCCTCCTCTCCCGTACCCCTCCCCCAGTCCCCATTGATTATTCAAGTAATGAACGTCGGGTCACTCGAGTTACTGTCTGCCGTGAAACTCTATCATGCACACACACAACTCCCCCACCGATCGTCCCTTCCCACACCTCCATGCTCGGCGCTCGTCACGTTAACAAACGCTGAACGTGACAAACACTCCATAATGACGATACTCGCCGCTGTTTTTCTTTTCCTCTTTCGATTTTGAAAAGAAACGGCGGAAGTAAGTGAACAAAGGAGGAATAAAGAAGGAAGGAGGAAGAAGTAGTAGAGTGAGTAAAGAGAGGAGGAAATAGAGGTAGAGAGGAGAGAGGAAAGGATTGTGAGAGGGAAAGGGGTAGGAAAGAAGATAAGGGAAGGAGAAACGAAGAGAGGGAGAGAGAAAGGGAGATAATGAAACAGGGGGGAAAACAGAAGTGCAGAAAAGAGGGAGAGAGAAGAAAACGTTAAAATGCAGCAAAAATATGAAAAAATGGAAAATAAGAAAAAAATCAAATACCCTTCTGCCTTTGCCAGAATATCAAGCACAATGTTAAATAGATAAACGGATATAACTGCACATTCTGAGCCAGGACGACGACAAATCAGGCGCAGCGGCGGACATGAGCCACACAGCCTCACTCCCCGAGAGGTCGAGCGGTCACCGGCTCCGACGCCAGGGGAGGATATTGTGACAAAGTCGCTCCTTGTCCATCACGCAAAAGTCCGGCCTCAGTGTAATTATTGTGAAATATACTGTGAAATACCAGCGCCAAATTGTAGGTTGCAGTCACGCAGGGTAAGTCTTTACGGGACTGAAAGGGGCGCAGGCAGAAGGGGTTGCCGGGGTTTCTAGCAAGAGGGGGGGTCATAAAAAAGGTCTGAGTGTGTGGGAAAGACAAAAAAAGAGAAGGGAGAGTAAGCCAAACCTATATTTCTTCCTTTATTATAGTGAACATTTCAAAAATCCTTTACTTAAGTGTAACACTATACGTCTTGAGGCCTGGATATAATAAGGGTGCGTCGGTTGTTCTTTGTGGCGTTGGCAGTGATGGTTGTGCGTCAGGAAGGTAAAAATATACCTACATGTCTACTTATCCACCGAGGATACAATTAAACGGGCATATACAGTAGACGTACATAAATAGACATGAGTATGGAAAGACGTATGTGTGCGTGTGCATGCAACAATTACTCGTGTATGTATTTTGTCAGTAAACATGTAACAAAGATCCGTATATCGTTAAACTGCCTGGGTGCATCCGATCCCTTATAGTGCCACCACCTCCACAAGACGAGGAACAAAGAATGCACCTCAAATATAATCAGTGTGACCACAACCCCGCTGTTAAGATAATCAAGATGAAAATCCTAATGAACAAAAAGTAAATCCTAAGAGAGAGGGAGAGGGAGGAGGAGGAGGAGGAGGAGGAAGAGGGGGGGGAGGGGGAGGGGGTGGGGGAGGAGGAAGAGGGGGGAGGAGGAGGAGGAGGAGGAAGAGGGGGGAGGGGGAGGGGGAGGGGGAGGAGGAAGAGGGGGGAGGAGGAGGAGGAGGAAGAGGGGGGGAGGAGGAAGAGGAGGAGGAGGAGGAGGAAGAGGGGGGAGGAGGAGGACGAGGGTGGAGGAGGAGGACGAGGAGGAGGAGGAGGAGGAAGAGGGGGAGGAGGAAAAGGAGGAGGAAGAGGGGGGGAGGAAAAGGAGAAGGAGGAGGAGGAGGGGGGGAGGAGGAGGAGGGGGGGAGGAGGAGGAGGAGGAGGAGGAGGGGGAGGAGGAGGAGGATGGAGAGGGGGGGGAGGAGGAGGAGGATGGAGAGGGGGGGGGAGGAGGAGGAGGAGGAGGAGGAGGAGGAAGAAGAGGGGGGGGAGGAAAAGGAGGAGGAGGAGGAGGAGGTGGAGGTAAAGGAAGGGAGGTGGAGGTAAAGGAAGGAAGGAGGAGGAGGAGGATGAAGAGGGGTGGAAGAGGAGGAGGTGAAGGTAAATGAAGGAAGGAAGGAAGGAGGGGGGAGGGGAAGGAGGGGGGAGGGGGGGGAGGAGGAGGAGGAGGAGGAGGAGGAGGAGGGGGAGGAGGAGGAAGAGGGGGGGAAGGAGGAGGAGGAGGAGGAGGAGGAGGAGGTGAAGGAAGGAGGAGGAATAGGAGGAGGATGAAGAGGGGTGGAAGAGGAGGTGAAGGTGAAGGAAGGAAGGAAGGAAGGAAGGAAGGAAGGAAGAGGAGGGGGGGAAGGAGGAGGAGGAGGAGGAGGAGGAGGATGGAGAGGGGGAGGAGGAGGAGGAGGAGGAGGAGGAAGAGGGGAGGAGGAAGAGGGGGAGGAAGGAGGAAGAGGAGGAAGAGGAGGAAGAGGAGGAGGAGGAGGAGGAGGAGGTGAAGGAAGGAGGAGGAGGATGAAGAGGGGTGGAAGAGGAGGAGGTGAAGGTGAAGGAAGGAAGGAAGGAAGGAAGGAAGGAAGGAGGGGGGGGAGGAGGAGGAGGAGGAGGAGGAGGAGGAGGAGGAGGAGGAGGAGGAGGAGGAGGAGGTGAAGGAAGGAAGAAGGAGGAGGAAGAGGAGGAGGAGGAGGAAGAAAAGAAGAAGGTGAAGGAGAAGAAGGAAAAGTAAAATTAGAAGAAGGAAAATGAAAAGGAGGAGGAAAAGGAAAAGGAGGAGGAGGAAGAAAGGGAACAGGATAGAAGGGTTAAGATGGGGAAGATGAACAGAGGGACAGGAGCCCCCACCCCCGTCCTTTCCTCGCCGTACGCCCCGACGCGGCAAATTCGGAACTCCGATACCAGTTCCGCGCGAACCAGGTACGTTCGAGCAGATCCCTTCCCTCTGTGTTTACACGACTGTGTGCAAGGGTGAGGCCCATGTGGGCGTGTCTACGAGGTGCTAAGGCTCCACCCCTGCCCATCCGTTTCGTCCCGCCTGCACAAGCTGATTCACTGCTGTTACATTTCCACCAGCGTGACGTCATGCCTCTCTCTCGACCCTGCGGGAGGAGAAGGGGGAGAAGGAAAGAAGGGAATAGCGTAGTAAATTTCTCGTCCATTCTTCGACACCCGCAATTCTCGCCAGCCAATAATGTACAGCTCGATGACGGACAACAATTATCGGCGAGTCCCAACTGTGCCAGGAAGCCGAGCTCGTTCTCCCAGCCGCTGCCATCAATGCATGCTTCTCCCCTACCGCCTTGACGTCAGTCTTGATGGGTCACAGCATCAAGACCCGACACCTGCGCCCAACACTACAAGCGCCACTCACTCTGCAGTGCCGCTTAGAAAACTTTCTTCCACTCGCGTTAGCTACCTGCCTTTCCGTCTCGCTAAGCTAAGCGCATCAGCAGCGCGGCAGGGACGTTTGCTTATCATCCAGCGACGGATACCATCGGTATACAAGTCAGACCACGCTAATCATGATCAAAGAGAGAAGAGGTTTAAAACAACAAAGCGGAATGTAACCGATATCTGATACGCGAAAAAATGTAGGTGCGCGCACGAGTCACTACGTGGTAGCTGTTAATAACGCCACGAATGAAAAGCATATCACAAAGCTTGAGGTTACTTAATGCCTCGATTCAAGTTCTACTTAAATGTAATACTGATCGTAATGCAACTCGAAGCCTAATATCAAGCCGATGCATTCTATGGGTAATTGCGGTACTTAGGTTGCCGAGGCCAAGATAACGACTGGCCGAGGAAGAACTGTCAACCTGACAGCTTGGTCCACTTATTATGAAAATGACATTTGTTTGTCGAAATAATCATTAGGGGTTATGACTTTAAGGCAGAGCTACAAGAGAGATACTCAAGATATTCCCTTACATTCGATTAACTGTCGGACCACCAAAGCTCAACACACTTGTGTTAGAACTTGTCATGAAGTGCCGCTGATACGGCGTGACGGGACGCAAGTGCCATACTGAGTCACGGCCATACTTGGAGGCCAGAGGGTACGAGAAAAGGGCAAGGGACGAATTCAAGGGAGAAAAGGCAAGTCGAGGGAAAAAGAAGGGGAGCGGGAATGGGGAGAGGGGAAAGGAAGGGGGAGGGAAATAGGAATGGGAGAGTGAATGGGAGGGAGGAGAGAGGAAGTGAAAGGAAAGGAAAGGGATGGGAAGGGAAAAGGGTGGGAACGGAAGGAAAGGGATAGGGTAGGAAAGGAGAAATGAGCGAACGTGGAAGGATTACTCCCACGCAGCCGAGCGGAAAGAGGCGGGCCAATGGCTTGAAGAAGCAAGCAAGGAGCGCAGATGAAGAGGGCGGAGTGCCATGGAAGAGGACTGGAGTAAGCTGAGCATCACTCAGGCCCGCGACTTGAGTGCTGCCCGAGTGCCGCGGGAAGGTCGCCACCTCCGGCACAAGTAGCGGGAAGTGCCTGAGCCCACTTCTGCCCCCCCCCCCCACATCCCCTACCTGCCCACCCACTGATCCCTCTCCACCTTTAAAAAAGCACCTAAACGACCTCAACCCTCAAACCCAAGAGGTAGGTGTGGCGGGCCGACCCCACACCCCTCTCACACGGTTCAGCAGCAGGGCACGAGGGTGAGGGCGGGGTAGAAAGTGAGGGCGAAGGGTGAGGGCGAAGGGTGAGGGTGAAGTTGAGGGCGAAGGGTGAGGGCGAAGGGTGAGGGTGAAGGTGAGGGCGAAGGGTGAGGGTGAAGGTGAGGGTGAGAGTAAAGGTGAGGATGAGGGTGAGAGTAAAGGTGAGGATGAGGGTGAGGGGGTGGATGAGGTTGAAGGCAAGAGAAAGGAGGGAAGAGGGAGAGGGAGAAAGCGGGGGAGAGGGAGAAGACGGGAGAGAGGGAGAAGGAGAGGGAGAGGCCGGGGGAGTAGGAGAGGGAGAGGTAGAGGGAGAGGGAGAGGGAGAAGGAGAGGCCGGGGGAGAAGGAGAGGCCGGGGGAGAAGGAGAGGTCGGGGGAGAAGGAGAGGGAGAGGGAGAAGGAGAGGCCGGGGGAGAAGGAGTGGGAGAGGGAGTGGGAGAAGGAGTGGGAGAGGGAGAGGGAGAGGGATAGGGAGAGGGAGAAGGAGAGGCCGGGGGAGAAGGAGAGGGAGAGGGATAAGGAAAGGCCGAGGGAGAAGGAGGGAGAGGAAAGGAGAGGCCGGGGAGGAGAAGGAGAGGCCGGGGGAGAAGGAGAGGGAGAGGGAGAAGGAGAGGGAGAGGGATAGGGAGAAGGAGAGGGAGAAAAAGAGGCCGGGGGAGAAGGAGTGAGAGAGGGAGAGGGATAGGGAGAAGGAGAGGGAGAAAAAGAGGCCGGGGGAGAAGGAGAGGGAGAGGGAGAAGGAGAGGCCGAGGGAGAAGGAGAGGCCGGGGGAGAAGGAGAGGGAGAGGGAGAGGGAGAAGGAGTGGGAGAGGGAGAGGGAGATGGAGAGGGATAGGGAGAGGGAGAAGGAGAAGCCGGGGAAGAAGGAGTAGGGAGAGGGAGAGGGAGAGGGAGAGGGAGAAGGAGTAAGGGAGAGGGAGAAGGAGGAGAGGGAGAAGGAGTAGGGAGAGGGAGAGGGAGAGGAGAGGGAGAGGGACTGGGAGAGGAGAAGGAGAGGGAGAGGGAGAAGGAGAGGGAGAAGGAGAGGGATAGGGAGAGAGAGAAGGAGAGGGAGAAGGAGTAGGGAGAGGGAGAGGGAGAGGGAAAAGGAGAGGCCGGGGGAGGAGTGGGAGAGGGAGAGGGAGAGGGATAGGGAGAGGGAGAAGGAGAGGGAGGAGTAGGGAGAGGGAGAGGGATAGGGAGAGGGAGAAGGAGAGGGAGAGGGATAGGGAGAGAGAGAAGGAGAGGGAGAAGGAGTAGGGAGAGGGAGAGGGAGAGGGAAAAGGAGAGGCCGGGGGAGAAGAAGTGGGAGAGGGAGAGGGATAGGGAGAGAGAGAAGGAGAGGGAGAAGGAGTAGGGAGAGGGAGAGGGAGAGGAGAAGGATAGGGAGAAGGAGAGGGAGAGGGAAAGGCGAGGCCGGGGAGAAGAGAGTGGAGAGGGAGGAGTAGGGAGAGGGAGAGGGATAGGGAGAGGGAGAAGGAGAGGCCGGGGAAGAAGGAGAGGGAGAAGGAGAAGGAGAAGGAGAGGGAGGAGGAGAGGGAGGAGGAGAGGGAGGAGGAGAGGGAGGAGGAGAGGGAGAAGAAGAGGGAGAAGGAGAGGGAGGAAGGAGAGGGAGGAGGAGAGAGAGAAGGAGAGAGAGAAGGAGAGGGAGAAGGAAAAGCCGGGGGAAAGGGCACGGACACGAGTATCAAGTGACGAGGAGGCGACGTGGCGCCGCTTTTGATGCCAGACGAGAGAGAGGAACGCGAGGAGCGGGGGCGGGTGTGCTGGGCATGGACTCGAGGAGACTGGGGGAGCGAGGGCGGGTGTGCTGGGCATGGACTTGAGGAGACTGGTGGAGCGGGGGCGGGTGTGCTGGGCATGGACTCGAGGAGACTGGGGGAGCGGGGGCGGGGTGTGCTGGGCATGGACTCGAGGAGACTGGGGGAGCGGGGGCGGGTGTGCTGGGCATGGACTCGAGGAGACTGGGGGAGCGGGGGCGGGTGTGCTGGGCATGGACTCGAGGAGACTGGGGGAGCGGGGGCGGGTGTGCTGGGCATGGACTCGAGGAGACTGGGGGAGCGGGGGCGGGTGTGCTGGGCATGGACTCGAGGAGACTGGGGGAGCGGGGGCGGGTGTGCTGGGCATGGACTCGAGGAGACTGGGGGAGCGGGGGCGGGTGTGCTGGGCATGGACTCGAGGAGACTGGGGGAGCGGGGGCGGGTGTGCTGGGCATGGACTCGAGGAGACTGGGGGAGCGGGGGCGGGTGTGCTGGGCATGGACTCGAGGAGACTGGGGGAGCGGGGGCGGGTGTGCTGGGCATGGACTCGAAGACAATGGGATCAAGCTACCGGCCCGTCTAAAAAAAAAATCAAATTTCAATAATTACAATAAAGGAGATGGTGTTGGAATGTAAATGGCATGTGATGCTTGAGGGAAGGTAAGTTGGTTCCATCATAAGTGTGGGCGTGCGATAGGCGTGCAATGGGCGTGGCCGCACAACAAGACTTGCCCATGTAGCTTGTGAGGCACCCAGTCTCGTGGCCTATTGATCCCTTACCTGTCCCGTCGACTACCACTACCAGGAGGACCCTCCGCCGCCGGGCCCTCCTACCACGAGTATCACTCCGTCGCCACCAACTCCTGTCACCTGCCCGAGCCCTGCGCCCGGCCACTGCCCTAGGCCACCCGAGCACCCCTGCCACCACTTCTCAAGGCCACCCGGGCACCTCTGCCACCACTTCTCAAGGCCACCCGAGCACCTCTGCCACCACTTGTCAAGGCCACCCGAGCACCCCTGCCACCACTTGTCAAGGCCACCCGAGCACCCCTGCCACCACTTCTCAAGGCCACCCGAGCACCTCTGCCACCACTTGTCAAGGCCACCCGAGCACCTCTGCCACCACTTCTCAAGGCCACCCGAGCACCTCTGCCACCACTTGTCAAGGCCACCCGAGCACCTCTGCCACCACTTGTCAAGGCCACCCGAGCACCCCTGCCACCACTTCTCAAGGCCACCCGAGCACCTCTGCCACCACTTGTCAAGGCCACCCGAGCACCTCTGCCACCACTTCTCAAGGCCACCCGAGCACCTCTGCCACCACTTCTCAAGGCCACCGAGCACCTCTGCCACCACTTGTCAAGGCCACCCGAGCACCCTGCCACCACTTGTCAAGGCCACCCGAGCACCTCTGCCACCACTTGTCAAGGCCACCCGAGCACCCCTGCCACCACTTGTCAAGGCCACCCGAGCACCTCTGCCACCACTTGTCAAGGCCACCCGAGCACCTCTGCCACCACTTGTCAAGGCCACCCGGGCACCCCTGCCACCACTTGTCAAGGCCACCCGAGCACCTCTGCCACCACTTGTCAAGGCCACCGAGCACCTCTGCCACCACTTGTCAAGGCCACCGAGCACCTCTGCCACCACTTGTCAAGGCCACCCGAGCACCTCTGCCACCACTTGTCAAGGCCACCGAGCACCTCTGCCACCACTTGTCAAGGCCACCCGAGCACCTCTGCCACCACTTGTCAAGGCCACCCGAGCACCTCTGCCACCACTTGTCAAGGCCACCGAGCACCTCTGCCACCACTTGTCAAGGCCACCCGAGCACCCCTGCCACCACTTGTCAAGGCCACCGAGCACCTCTGCCACCACTTGTCAAGGCCACCGAGCACCTCTGCCACCACTTGTCAAGGCCACCGAGCACCTCTGCCACCACTTGTCAAGGCCACCGAGCACCTCTGCCACCACTTGTCAAGGCCACCCGAGCACCCCTGCCACCACTTGTCAAGGCCACCCGAGCACCTCTGCCACCACTTGTCAAGGCCACCGAGCACCTCTGCCACCACTTGTCAAGGCCACCCGAGCACCTCTGCCACCACTTGTCAAGGCCACCCGAGCACCCCTGCCACCACTTGTCAAGGCCACCGAGCACCTCTGCCACCACTTGTCAAGGCCACCGAGCACCTCTGCCACCACTTGTCAAGGCCACCGAGCACCTCTGCCACCACTTCTCAAGGCCACCGAGCACCTCTGCCACACTTGTCAAGGCCACCGAGCACCTCTGCCACACTTGTCAAGGCCACCGAGCACCTCTGCCACCACTTGTCAAGGCCACCCGAGCACCCCTGCCACCACTTGTCAAGGCCACCGAGCACCTCTGCCACCACTTGTCAAGGCCACCGAGCACCTCTGCCACACTTGTCAAGGCCACCCGAGCACCCCTGCCACCACTTGTCAAGGCCACCCGAGCACCCCTGCCACCACTTGTCAAGGCCACCCGAGCACCCCTGCCACCACTTGTCAAGGCCACCC